TAAGAAATTGCTGTGGGCTGACTTTCTTGGGATTGTGTGGTATAAAAAAAGTTTAGATCAGTTTCCTCCAGTAGAAGTTCCTAATACTGACGTGTAAGGCAGATCTCAATCAGGTCTTGTTTTCCACGAGCCTGGGTCTCAATCTAGATCTGCCATTTAATGTCAGAATGTTCCATGAACATCATAATATCTCATTTAATTTGAACCTCATGATCCATTATGACTGACTTTGCTTTTCTCCCATCCAGTTTCTTCATAATAGCGTCTTGTTCCTGGACATAATGATCAAAGAGCTTTACTCGAATGAGTCATGAACTACGAGCCATTATCTCTTATTAACTCATCTATAATATTCTGGCAAGCAATCCATGAGTTCTGATGCTTCATAGTCTGTCCAATGCTATACTCTCCCTTTGAAAAAGGGTCTGTGACCCAGTTTGAAAAAGTAATCTTCTACCATTCAATCTTCACATTTTCAGAAATATTAGCTGACTTTTTACTTGATTATTTTTAGAAAGTTGAACTTTCATGTTGCATAAAAAGTACGTACACACAGAAAGAGATTCTCATGTTATCAGTTTAAGGATGACATGTAAATGTGTCCTTGTCCTTTTAAAAGAAAATCCCAACACTGCAGGGGTGAAATCCAATTTTTTTCCCTACCAGTTCTGTGGGCGTGGCTTGGTGGGCGTGGCAGGGGAAGGATACTGCAAAATCTCCATTCCCTCTCCACTCCTGGGGCCAGCCAGAGGTGGTATTTGCTGGTTCTCTGAACTACTCAAAATTTCCGCTACCGGTTCTCCAGAACCTGTCAGAACCTGCTGGATTTCATCCCTGCAACACTGTATATGTTGCAAACTACCATTGGAATCTCTTCTCAAGCATACATATCTGTTAAACTCACCAAAAGGAGGAATTTCCATAATTATTTGGATATTTGAGGGACCACCTATCTCCCATGGCTCAACCTATTTGACCCTGCAGGGTTGATGTGCTCCACATTTCTTTGATTAAACAATGTGATTTCTCATGACCCTAAAAGCCTGCTTTCTCTGTAGCAGCCCTGGGTCTTTACCTTGATCTTATTGGATCATGCTTGTCATCTTTTATTTGTTTATGTTGCATATTTTATTGCAATTTCTTTGATTGTTTTGAGCCACCCAAAGTTGTTGAGAGTCGATAGCAATCAAACCAATTAATGTATACTATGGCTGCATTCACTTACTTTCACTACCGGTTCACAAATGAGAGTGGGTGTGCGCGCATGCTCACTTTGATTGTGACATCTCTGCACGTGCGCAGGACCCGCGCATGCAGAGAGCATCAAAAACAGGATGTGATGACGTCCGAGTGGGTGGGCGGAGCCTCCTGCAGCTGCCGCTACTGGTTCACCCAAACCAGATAGAATTCTGTGGATCGGTTCTATGGGCGTGGCTTGGTGGTGGTGGGGTTAATGTGACTGGGTGGGCATGGCCAATTTTTATTTTTACTTTTAAAAGCATTTTTTCTACAACTTTAAGAGGTTGCAGAAAAAAATGCTTTTAAAAGCCTCTGACGATCAGGCAACTCAGCTGGGATTGTCAGAGATTTTTAAAGGCATTTTTTATTCTACAACCTCTTGGGCCGAAGAGGTTGTAGAAAAAATGCTTTTAAAAGTAAAAAAAAAAAGCCTCTGATGATCGCGCGGCTCAGCTGGGCATGGGGGGGGGAGGGATTTTTGCTACCGGTTCTCCGAACCACCCGCCGCCATCGCTACCGGATCAGGTGATCTGGTCCGAACCGGGAGCATTTCACCCCTGCCATTAACTACTTTTAAGCTATTAGAGATTCTCAGAATGATATGTTTGAAAACACCAGGTTAGTGTGTCTTCAATGAATGAATGAAAGAAAAAAATAATAATCATAAGCTAAAGAGTTTAAAGAATCTAAAATGAACAGCAAAATGCTAAGTAAGATTTTGAACTTAGAAAGTTGTAAATGAACTAAGGGTTCAGATAAAATTGGGATATTGACATTTTTACAGTAATATTTTGGAATTAAGAACAAATAGCTTCTTGTGGGAAATAGATTTGTTTTGGTTTTTATAAGACAAAACAAAGATAAGCAATTTATGCTTTCAAAAACTGGACACTAAAGAGCACTGAAATTTTTAGGCAGAGGGTAGATTTACAATCTGGAAAAATGTTGTAAATTTTATACCAATAAAAATATTGAAGGAGCCTTTTCATGAATAGAATCAGTAAATAGTAACCACAATATTATTATATTCTTACTTTTCTCTGTCTTTTCACTTTTTTCTTGCAGCTTTTACTCCTTTTCCATTGCCATTATAACTGCAAAGTGCAAATGGTTGCTAAAGGAGGCAGTTGCTGAACAAGGACTACTTGTATTAGCTATTTAATCTCTGCTTCAGTTAAAATAACCTTGTCTTTAATGCTGAATAATTTTACAGTCGAATCCCGCAGCGGTATATTCAAGTGGAGGCAAATCAGTTTGTCACCTCTGTTTTAAGCTTGTACCGTGAGAAATTCAGGCCTTAGTGGAAATACAATATATGTCTATAAATTTATAATATGCATTGAATAAATAAATAAAATGTCATTTTTGAATCTTCTACGGATTTTCTCTTAAGCTGTGTGTTAAAAAATTTTGTTGCCTGTCACAAAAATAAAGAGAATGTCCAAGCAAGTCAACTAGATTTGTTTCATTTTTGGCGATAGAATATCAACTTCTGTTACAGCAGAAGGCAGGCTAATTCAGGGGACACTGAGCATGTTGTATGATGCGGAGAGTTCTGCCTTCTCAAACCTCACATCTGTTCACTTCCCCATAACTACACGCTGAGAGGCCGATTCACAGTCACTCTTATTGATGGGGCCAGACTTGTTTATCTTCTTTTCAGTAGCAAAGACTACAACTATTTGGATTTGCCCAGTGTTATATTGGATGCAGTTCCTGCAATCTTTTATTTTCTCAGGAGCTTGTGACAACAACAGTCTCCAAATATCTGTCTCTCACGAACCAAAGAATTCTGGCTTTTCTAGGATCCATTACAAAGAGTGACCTAGAAATACTCTTTGCTGCTTTGTATGATGCAATTCCCCAGTGTAAAGTTCTAATTCAGTCTTGCCAGTTGACCTACAAAACTTTTGATTTGTTTGCCAACTGTTTTTCTTTTCGTCTTGCAAGATTTTTAACACTTTTGTAGCAAGGAGAAATTAATTAGCTGAGGCAAGAAAAACACTCTATTTGTGAAATCTATAGCTCTAACATAATTATTAAAGGCTCAATAGTCTTATTTCTTTTTTTAAAAAGCCTTTCTTATTATAAGGCAAACTTGTAGTTTACAGTCTCCACTCAGATTCGTAATATTGAACAGCTTTGAAAAGAAATGAACTATAAAGCAAATTAAGAATGTGATGTGCTTTTCTTGATTCTAGACACCATATGAGAAGCAAATAAAATGGACAATTAAAAACTTGTTCCTGTAGAACTGATTATTATTTAAATACTTTCCACTAAAAACAGCATATCCTTAACAACCATAGGAAATAGCTCTGTTCTGTAAAGCAATTCAATTACATATAATTCCAGAAATATGAATGGTGCCCTTGGAAAAGAAAGTTCATAAAATTTGTTTTTAAATAAAGATATTTTTCTGTAATGGTTCTCCTTAAACTATTTCAAAAAATGGTGGTTGTTTAGCACTGAGCTTCCTATGAGAGCACTAATTTACTGTGAAATGGATCTGCATTGCAATAAAGAACTAATGTTGTTAACTTCTTTTCATCATTCCCCCCACCCTCAACAAAGTACAGTAGTAACTCTCATTTTGCTGTAAAGCCACAGCGCCTCCCCAAGGTACAATGGCAAAATGCATTTCTACCCAAGGCTGATTTTCTGGAAGGACATACTACCTGCTTTATTTCACACTATGGTTTAAAGAAAAAAATGAACATATTCAACTAATGCTCACAGCTGGAATTACTTTTCAAACTTGTTTCTTATATGTTATGAACCTGTGATAGCTCATATTAAAAAAATAACAAAAATAAATAAAATATATAATATACCGGTAATAATAATTAATATACTATAATTAGTATAGTATAGTATAGTATAGTATAGTATAGTATAGTATAGTATAAATACCATAACAAAGGCTTTTATTATGGGTTTCAATATCACTCTTCACCATCCACCTGTTGATGGTAACTTATCAAAATCTGGCAATTATGCACCACAAATAAGGATTTACTGCAGTGGTGAAATGCAATTTTTTTTACTACCGGTTCTGTGGGCATGGCTTGGTGGGCGTGGTATGGCTTGGTGGGCGTGGCAGGGGAAGAATACTGCAAAATCTCCATTCCCACCCCACTCTGGGGCTAGCCAGAGGTGGTATTTGCCAGTTCCCCAAAATACTCAAAATTTCCGCTACCGGTTCTCTGAACTGCTCAAAATTTCCGTAACCGGTTCTCCAGAACCTGTCAGAACTTGCTGGATTTCATATACTGGATCTGGGTTGTCAAAACTTAGCTGATAGCAAAGAGATACTAAAAAAAACAGAAGAGGAAAAAAAGAAAAGAAAGAAACAATTTGTCACTGTAATCTTGTGGCCGTTCAGATTTTTTTTGACAACCCAGTTTCAGCACTCCCAGCATCTTGGGGTGGGGGTGGGGGGAGCTTTTTGTAGACTTGTTCAAAGCACTGCTGAAACTCTTCTATATACCACTACTAGGATTCTTCTCTTCTTAAAATGGATCGGAGCGCAGACCTCCCTGTAGTAAGCAAGTGCCGCCCGACAGACTTCAACCTCCACTGCGTGGGCAGCGGAAAAGCCCTGAAAAATCAGCTCGATCTAGGGACGCCTTCGCGGCTGACCCACGCAAGCGACCTCCGATTCCGAGAACAATTCTGAGTGCAATTCCGCCTGGAGCCCTGCGGGAGGCAGCAGAGAGAGAGAGGTGGGGTGAGGTTCTTTCTAGAGTTTCCGTCTCTCGTATACTGCTTCCGTTTCCTGGCCGGGTGTCCGTCCGTTCGGCGGCGGTTGGCAGTTTGGCTGCGTTTGCATCAGCTGTTGGGAAGAAGCGCGCGGGGCGATGGTGCTGCTGGAGAGCGAGCAGGTGCCGCGGCCTAACGCTCCGTCCCCGGGGGTGCCTTTTAGGGAAGGGCTTCGCAAAGCCCCGTTGCTGTGAGCGGAAATGTCCTCCGACCTGGCACCTTTGTAGTGGGGAAGGCTGCCCTCCCGCAGTTCCTTGCCCTGTAAAGCAGAATAGGCAACCGTGGGATGGGGGGGGGGCGGTTAACAAAAAGAAGGTGGCAGTTCCAGAGGCCTCATCTCTCTTCTGCGCTGGGTCTGCTCAAAATCTGTATTTGGACCCTAAGCAGTGGGACCAATGGTGCATAAAGCGATTGGACAGCCAGGGAGGGGCGCCCATCACTTCCCCCTTATAGTATTATTATGTCACTCTTGAAGGTTGTTAAAACCCACCCACCCCCAAAACGGTATTCGTTTGCATGGGGGCCGCTTAATGCTCAATGAATGCCAGAAGCTCCAACCCAGGACGTCAGTTCTTTGCTACGTGCCACTTCGTTTTCTGCCCCACCTAATTTGGCAACTGTCAACCTACGTGTTGAATACTCCTTCTCATGGAAAATTAATGAGTTCACAGGGCTCATTTGAAGTAGTTTACACTACATTGCATCTTAAGAGTATTGGCTCTGAGGCCTAACTTAATGCAAGTTAGAATCTCTTTGATAGGGAAGTAAGGAACAGTGAAAGGTGTAGATTCAGTGCATATCTAGCTCCATGAATAGATTATAATGTTATGGTTTAATAGTCAAGGGCAGCTGTTTAAATATTCGGTGCGACTAAAAGCCTTAGGATAGGATTGTTCACTAGCTGGAAAAAGAAAACAATTCAAAATAGCGATCTTTGTAACAATTAGATGTTTTGTTTGTTTTTGCAGTTCTTGACAGAGCTAACCAGGCTTTTTCAGAAATGCAGGACCACAGGCAGTGTCTATATAACGTTAAAAAAATGTAAGTATTACATTCCTGTTTGTCTCACATTAGCTTATCTCATAACAAATCAAATGAAGATTCTGCTGTGCTGAGTAGTGGAACTGCAGTTCAGTTAGTAAATGGGTAAGTAGCCACATCAGTAATAATATAGGAGTTGATTACTTCAAACTTAATCTATGAAAAAAACCTGATTTAGACCTCTACTGAGTCAGGAGTGTTTAATGCTTCTTAAGCATATTTTCCCTTAATCTGAATATTTTCTGTTTATTGGTTAGAAACATCCCAACTTTTTCCTGACAGTTTTCACAGAGAGATGATGATGTGCACCTGTCGTTGATAATAGCCTTTAGCTGGGAAATTCTGAGAGTAGAATTCCACACAAGTTGCTATGATTGAGAAACACTGGAATAATGGGTGGGAGAAAAGAGGAACATAATAATGGGGTTTTCTGTACTTCTAAGGTATCTTGCCTCCAATTCTCCTGGTATTTAAGTAACCAAAAAAGAGCAGGCCAATTTTTATTCCCCCCCCCCCTTGAATCCTAAACATGAAAAGATAATAAATTCTCTTAAGAAAAAATGTTGGTTTTGGTCTTCTAGCATGGGAGGAAAACTGTTTGCTTCCAAATGGGCAATCTCTAATGGCATTGCCACAACTAGAAAGTGAGTTGGTGGATCCTTTAAGTATTAAAGAACAGCTTCACGTGTACTTAATATTGTGAAACCTTATTATTGTGCCCAGCTTAATATAATTACCAGCATTCTAACAAAATTCTTACCTCCCAATCTGCACTTTTAGATTTCTAATATATGAAGCAGAATTCAAAAATACAGACATTTATTTTATGAAAACATTCTCTTGCCATCTTTGGATGTTATGTAATTTAACTTGCTAGTTTTGCTAAGTACGATATATAATTTTGATGCTTCTGTTTAATGTAGATGATGGTCGGACAAGACCAATTCCACGGAAGGGCCATCTTGAGAGTTTTGAGCCTGTAGACAACAAATGTCTTCTTAGAGCCACAGATGGGAAGAAAAAAATAAGCACAGTGGTAGGTGTTATTGTTTTATGAAAGGATGTTTTTTCATCATTGCATTTTTATGTAAGTGGGGAGAAAGACCTTATATAAAATGGGTAATGAGTTTATTTATGTATTTGAAGTTACAGGCTGACTTTCACCCTCAAGGTAGCTAACACTTTAAAATTAAATGTAGGCAATTACCAAAAACGGGGTAATCAAGTTCAAAGGAATTAAAAAGTCTAGAAAGAGAAATGCTTTCAACGCTTCCTGAAAGTAGGATGAGCGGAGGATATACAGCTTATTCAGTAGATGAACCTGTGGAACACAAGTATCTTTAAAAAGCTTGGTTATTGACTATAGTGATTAAGATCAATACAAAGAAAGATGGGGTTCAGATAATTGGAACCTACACCAGCCCTGTGTAGAATGCAGTCACATATTATGCTATTATTTTGTACACCTCACGGTTAGATACATTATGTTTTACTTCCTGTTTTCTCTACAGTCCTGTTAGGTGGGTTGGACAGAGAAAATATGACTTACCCAGATGACTTTCATACCTAAGGGAGACCTAATATTAATTTTCCTGGTTTTTAATCCAGCACTTAACCAATTCACCAAAGCTAATACATAATGTATCAATTCTTATCTGAATTTTGTGATCAGCAGAACCAGCTGTTTCGTTCATCATCCCATAATTCTATCATGAAATTGTTTTCTTATAGGTGAGTTCAAGGGAAGTTAACAAATTCCAGATGGTAAGTTTGTATCTATTCACTTAGACTTCAATTTTTTAATCAAATAATTTCAATTTTTACGCTGAATGCATGACTAACTGGAACCCTATAGAACTGTGTAGCTGCTTTCTCTCTGCAAATATTTTGAGACAAATATTAACAGTTTCCTGAAACTTGAGTTTTTTTTAAAAAAAATCTTGTTTTTGATTGCAGGCATATTCAAATTTGATTAGAGCCAATATGGATGGTTTAAAGAAGAAAGACAAGAAAAGCAAAAACAAGAAAAGTAAAGCAACACAATGATATAAAAAACATTTTTCCAAAGAATGGACCCATGTTTTACCCCACATTTTTTCTTTATGTAACCACTTACCTTTTGACTAGTAACTGAATTTAGCAACTAGTAACTGAACAGTAAGCTTCTTATACAAACAGAGAATGCTCTCAGGATTGTGATACACAAAAATAAATATCTCTAATGCATAAATTTGTGCACCTGATTTGTTTCATACCTTTGACTTATTTCTATAAGTAAATTACTGGAATATCTTTACTCAGAAAAATAATTTTGATTTAACTGTTTAATATCTGCAAAAGCTTTATGAGCGGAATGAAGATTGAGAACGAATTTCAGTTCTGGCTTTGCTTTACTGTATTTCACTTGACTTTTAGTAAACTATATTTTCTCAGCAAGCAAAGTCAAGGATTGTTCTTGCCTAAAGGTTCAAGTTGAGGCAGGGCTGACAAAAATTGTTCAATAGCCAATCAGGAAGAGGAAGATTTCCTTCTCAGATACGCTTTTAAAACTTGTGTTACAACTGGAAATAGATTGTTAATGCTTTATGAATCTGAGCTTTTAAAAAGCATTTACTATGCTTGTGCTTAACACAGTTTTTTATATAGTGAACTGATGAACAGATCTGTTGCTTTTGTTAAGCATGGCACAAAATAAGTTTTCTATAATTTTAAAATATTACTTTATGGTGGCAAGACAAGTAAACAACCTAACCTTAAGCAACTTTTACACTCTTGAAACAATTCTGGAATCAGATTAAAATAGTTATATGCAAATTTCAATTGCTGCTGCGGGATTTTGAAGAGCAAACTCAACTAAAAATGGTAAAGTTTGCTTATCTACTAGGTAAAATCATTGAAATAACTTTCAATTACTAGTATCTTGATTCTTAAATATTTGTGCTTAATGTACAAATGTACAACTGTCAAAAACAGTTTGATTCAGTGGGACTTGTGTTGAAACAAGAGAGGATTAGAATTAGAAATATGCATTTTACCATAGTTACAGAAATGAATTTGGTCCACAACTATAGCTGATATTTTTCTTTTTAAAAATGTTACTGTTTGGCTATAATTCCTGTACAGGTTTTTTCCAACTAAGCAGAACTTGGCAACTAAAATATTGGGAAAATGTGATATTCAGGGAATCCTTCGTGCAAATACATCAATGGAAACTTGGTCAGCAGAAGAGCCATTTTAAAGAACCTAACTGGTTAAGAAGAGCCTGATAGTACAGTGGACTAAAGCACTGTTATTAACTGTTACTAACATCTGCTGCTTGCAATTACTGCAAGTTCAATTCTCACCAGGCTCAAGGTTGACTCAGCCTTCCGTCCTTTCTAAGGTAGGTAAAATGAGGACCCAGATTATGGGGGCAGTAAACTGACTTTGTATAAATATACAAAAGTATGAAGGCTATTGCTTAACACATTGTAAGCCACCCTGAGTCTCCGGAGAAGGGCGGCATATAAATCAAATTTAAAAAAAAGAAAATTCAACACTCATGGCTAGGTGCAGTTAACCCCTATGATCAATAAGTACAAATGACTGATGCTGCATAGAAGTATCTTTATACTTAGTAATTCTGTAGTTTTATGTTAAACGTTGTATGAATAATGAATTAACTTTGCCTTTACACTGAATGGAGAAAAATCTCATCTAAAAGACTTTAGACTGAAAGGTACGGTATTTAAAAGTATATCTGAGCTATCAGACCTACATATAATCAATCTAGTATTAAGCAAAGACAATCAAAATATAAGAAAAATTGACAAAACTGCCACCTCATGCCTGCACTCAGTGATCATCCAGTTCCAGTCTGCCATGAATCTTGTTAGGAGGGTGAGAGGGAGGAAGAGTGCCGGGGGGGGGGGGGTGAAAGTTAAGAAAGTGAAGGTGCCTCTCCCAGACAGTGTTTCAAAGTCGCTCCGCTGTGAGAAGAATGCAGCTGCAAGCTAGTCTACCATCAGAGTGAACGATTCAAAAATATCTTGGAAATAGATTGGACAATGGAGGGACCCAGCAAGGGGAAGTGCCTAAGATTTAAATTGAGGCAAGAGTGACAGAAATGGTTAAATAGCTAATCGGGAAGAAGAAGAATTCCTTCTCAGTTAGGTTTTTAAAAAGTAGAAGGACATTTTATTTTTGTCATTGGCAGAAGAAACAAACAGCCCTGCCCAGTGGCAGTTTGGAGATCTAGGAAAAATACAGCAATCTTAGGACTAATTGTTTTTTTATGGAAAACGATATGCAGTGCTGCCTTTCTTATACTTCGGTTTACTTGTTCTGCTGTGTGTATGTGCATATAAATGAAGGAACAACAGCTGGGATTACCCCTTTAGAAGTACTTGTTTTTCTTTTCCTCCTTTCAGTTCTTATCTGATTTCTTTAATCTTGACATACTGTACATAATAAAAATTTAAATGCTTAATGACTCAGCACTGTCATTCTGAGAAAAAAATATTAACTTAGCACCACCTTGTTTGGTTAAGCTACCCTCCCCCCCTCTCCAAACGCTAATAGGGGAAAGGTTGCCACTGTACCGATGTCTGAGTAATTTGGGCATGCTTGCATTCATGTACAGGCATCCCTTTTACAAATGTACAAATTACAATATTCCCTTTTGGGGAAGCAGTGCTATGCAGAGTGCAGAAAAATGGTAAGCCAAAAAATAAAAGACACAAGTAAAATTAAACCTAACTAAAACCAGTTATTTCACAAACTCCAGATTTACAAAAGCAGAGGAATCACCTCCTGTCTAAAAAACAGGATGTCCTAGAGAAGATCTTACTGATTCCATTGAAAAATACAGATATCCAAGTGTTTCAGCCTCTTCCTTTCAGTTCACAATAGGGGAATGACTGGAGATCATTGCTTTTCTGCTTAGCCTTCCTTCCCAATTTCAAAAGAAGGAGATGTGGAAGGAGATTCATGGACTGAACAATGAAAATTGCAGTTACTTGACTTTTTAATAACCACAAATGTCACAATTTGTCAATTTTACTTTAAGCAAAAACAAGTAGATCCTAAGGTACCAGAAGATTATTTTATTTTGAAAAAGATATGTACAATATATTTTGAAAAGATGTACACCTTTAAAGATGCCAACTATGGCACATGAGCTCAACATAATACTTAAAAAGGCAGCGATTGTCCAAGGAGTCATTGGGGAATCAGCAACAACAAAGTGCAAGTTTTCTTTATATTAACATAATTGGAAGCACACATTTTGTTCCCTTCATTATCCTGACTTTAATCCTGACTTATAACTAAAACAGGATTTTGTAGTAATCGTCTTTGTAACTGTAGAGAACAAGGATAGGCACTCTGCAAGAAATAAAACAGGCAGAAAGTTGAGAAAACAGTCAATTTTGGTAAAAGATGCTATTGTATTTCAAGTTTGTGTTAGGCTTCCTCATCAGGAGACCAAATAAATTTGTCCAACAGCTATTGGACAAATTTCTCTTTGTTCTATAAGATCTTCTATCCCAACTGATAGTGCCATATGGTTCAGGACTTCACATTATAATGGTTCCAGACTGCAGTTCCTTTACTGAATCTCACAAAGGGGGAATTTAGTGACCTTTATAACACTAGAGTCTAATGTCAGTCTTTGATACTATAGAACTCTTGCAGTGTTTATACCAGCGGTGTCAAACTGGCCACCTATGGGCCGGATGCATCATGCACAGGCCACGCCCATCCCAGCTCTGTGAATGGAAAAAATGTTGCAAGAACGTCACGTGACAGCAATGTGACGTGGCAAGTTTGACACCCGTGGTTTACAATCGCCTAAAATCTGCAGAATGATCTTCCAGATTCAACATGAGAGTCTTATACTATATTGCTAGTATGCATAGGAATACTTACTTTTTTTCTATTTTGATGGTATAGATTTCATCACAAACTTGTTTAATATATCTTTGCTTCGGCAGTCGAGACATCAATTGTTTCACAGTTGTATAGAAAGCTTGGTCATCAAACTGAGAAGATGGAAAATATTCAAACCAATATCTTAGTCTGAAATAGGGACTGTGAAAAAAGTAATGCTGAGAACATCAGGATGCTTTTTTTTATTTTTGGGGGGGGATGCAAATAGAGATTATAATCTTTGATTTCTTGGAAAAGCAATTTACAAAAATGAGTACATTAAATTTATTCTATGCCAGCAATGAGATTTTGCTTATTGTATATAATGAATGTTCAACTTTATTTAAAACTCAAATTTATTTTTAAAAACTCAAGTTATTAATTAAATCCACCAGTAAAGGCCAGTAACTTAATTTCTAGGTTTACCTCTAATGATAAGAAGTGTATTATAGTTTCCTTTGGTAGATCAACCTGCAAAAACAACAACAATACTGAATCATTATGATGATATAAACTATGAGATAGAGTTACATTTGTTTCATTTAGTCCATGTTAAATTGGGTATTGCAGAAGGCATCCAAATGTTGGACTGTTTACCAGCACAAAAATTAATTAGATGAAATATCCTCAAGCTCTACTCGATTACTGCAAGAAAGATTAAAAATATCAGAAGCCCTGATCTGTAGTCACACAGATTCATACTCATTCATACCAAATTCTGATGACCAATAAATAAATTCCCAAACCCCAACCAGAACAGAGCTTGAAACTCTGAACTCTGACATTACAGGAGTTCTAAAAGAGGTTTTGGATTCCCTTCAGAATATTCTGGCCCAGGTTTAGTTAAGAAATTAATAGGTCAATGAAGTCCCTAATACTGTCACTCCTTTCCCACACTTCATATGCCCATTATTGCCTTTTGTTGCGGGCAAAATATTATAGGCAAAGGTTTTGGAAAGACTCAGAACAAAGAAAGTGATTTCAATGGATTCTATATAAATGAACAGGAAATTTACCACTAATGAAACAAATTGATTCCTGGAAATTACATCTGTACCTCTGATATGGCTTTCATTTCATTTCATTTCATTTTAATGTATGCCGATTTTAATGTATGCCGATTAGTGTACATTCAAAATGACAATAAAGTTATTCTAAGTTCTAGTTACTGGATTCTTATCCAGTTATTAGATGGTTTGTTGTGAAAAAAGCAAAGTAACTTACTGCTAAAATTTCAACTTCATTCAGCTTCAGCGGGAAATTAGTAAAGCAAGCTTGGAGTTTGGTTTGTACCTGGAAGTCACATGGGATTGAAATAATTAA